TTCAGGACCTCTCCTTTCTAGAAAGCTCCATTGGGATGGTAATAACAAAACTTTCACCCTTTAGAGGCCTCCCTCTTTGGAGGGAGCTGAATAATTTCCTTCACCTTCATTGAAGAATTAAGGATTACCATTAAGTTGGTCAAGGGACCCCCTTTCTTCCAAATAAATAGAAATTCATCATCATTATGAGTCAATTGAGACAATTTCACCTCCCCCATTCTGTTGGGAATCCTAGCATTTCCCAACAATACTCCTTCTGGGAAGGAGTTGTGTGAACCATCCATGGGGACAGGAAGCCCTATCATTTGAGAGGAACCTAAGCCATTTCTCAAGATTTATGGAGTCGCCTGAGAGGGCAAAGGCCTCAAGGCTTAGACAACTACGGGGGACAGAGTAAGGAAGGGTCAGAGAGGGTCAACTAGAACTATGTCCAAAAGCATTCTTATCAGGCAAGTCCTGGAATCTGGATCTAAGAAACTGTTGAACTAAAAAAACCTTTCTCTCTATAGTGGCATTGATCATCATGACTGGCTTCCTGAAAACGGGACACTTGACTCTTGGTAGTCAGGAGCATGATGACCAAGCTGTTTATTAATAGTTGCAAATATCTTGCCTTGATATGGGAGAAGAGGGCCAATTTGCCAGTTTAGGACAGGTGAAGAACCAAATGAATTTTCAAAAACATTCTCCCCCTGGATGGTGCTCTAGATTGTGTCCAGAATCATCTAGGTTCTTATCTACTATACTCCCAAACACTTGACTGGGCAGGCTGAACTATGGCTTTTCCTAGGTTTGATCTTCCACTACTATAGGCAACACTGGAGGGGAGGAATCCCATATATAAGCCACCTGTCTAGGGTCTCTTGCTACTGTGGGTTTGTCTGACCCAGTCAATATCACACCAATATAGTGGGTATGTGAGTATCCTTGGCAAGTAGGGGCTTTCAGGACTCTGCACATCAGAATCTGGCAGTGAGGAAAATTCAGATAGCACTTAAGGATAGTGAAGATAAAAGCAAAGAGTTACTGAATAGTCTCAGACACAGGAATAGAGAAAAAAGGCCTTAGTGAGATCAAAAACCCACTGGAACCATGGAAAGGACAGATATGGCAATGAGCATGACAACTTAAGCAGATCCCTGTACTTCACTGTAAGCTTCTAGGTGGATTGCACCTAGATTGCCCTTTCTTACTGGACACTCAGGTTTGTCATAAAGGAGGCTGGTTTAGTAAAATACTCTAGTCTACATTTTCATAACTTGAGAGGAAATGATTCCACCTCCACGTGGGTTTAGGTATCGTTTGATATTTAAGTACTTGGGATGGCTTGGGCAGTTCAAAAGCTTTCCATTACACCCTATCCACAGTAACTACCATAGAGGTTGCTGAAAGGGCCCATATAGGTATCAGCTCCCAAGAGCCTGATGTCCTTTCCCTTGGAGTCCTGCCTGAAAAGTCTCCCATGGACAAGGGGGCCCTGCTAGGCCCATGGAAGGAGGGGGGGGGGGTTACCTGTTATGGTAACAGCCTGGCTACCAGTGTCCAGGAGCCTCTTATATACAAAAGAGCATGAAGCTTTAAGGAATGCCTTACACTTGAGTAGGACTGAAAGGACTTTACAACTTTTAGGTTAGATTTTGTGATACTGTTTTACCTGAACCTTCATAGGCTAAGGATTGGTTGCCTCTGTATCAATCCCATGTGTAGGAGTCATATCCAAATCTAAAAGGGTCAGGGGAGGGGTACTATGGGAAGTTTGAGAAGAAACTAGAAAATGTGGAACAGAGTTGTGAAGAGTGGGATGATTATCTTGTTGTAGTGAGGGCCAAGAAAACCCCAAATGGCGTCGCAAGTCAGACACAACTCAAACAACAACAAAAATATTTCTAATAAATGTTAAGTTCATTTTAAGGAAGCTAAATGGCACACTGGGTAGAGGGCTGGGTCTGGAGTCAGGAAGACCCAAATTCAAATCCAGCTGTAGATACTAGTTGTGTGTGACCTTGGATGAGTCATTTAAGCTGTGTGCCTCAGTTTCCTCAAGTGTAAAATGGAGAACACAATAGCACCACCTCACAGGGTTGTTGTAAGAATTAAATATTTGTAATAGCACAGTGCCTGCCTGGCACATAGTAGACACTATGTAAAAGCTCTGACCTCCACCCCCAAGTGCTTTGCAAACCTTAAAACACTACATACCATATTTCATCACATAACTGCCACCACCATTTTTTGTTTGTTTGTTTTTCAGTCCAAAAATTGGTTTATAACCTTTCATCATGTTATACCTCTGTTTGTTACACTGCTTAAAAGGTAAACAGCAGCAACATATGAGCCTAGAATTCTCAGTGCACGCGCATTGTCAGTATATTTCTGAAAGCCAACTTGCGTGGTTTATTTAAAGTACTGCAGTATTAATGGTATTGTTACTCAACCCGATAAAGAGCCATAGGCGCAAGGGGAACAGGTGGGCAGGCAAAGCTGCCATGAATAAGTCCCGTGATATGGTAAGGCCTGCATCTTCTCAATTTTACCATATTCACAAGTGTTCTGTGCATCTTAATCTTGCACCAAAGACAGTTTAGCAATAAATGATTTTTAAGTAATACTGGCAAAATTTTTTAAAAAGCTTCACATAATGATCACACCCCACTTTTTGGCAAAAAAATTTGTCATAAAATCTGTGACAATTATACAATGAAATAGAGTAAATGCTAGCTGTAGAGGCCTTATCTTATTCATCATTGTGTTCTCCATAAGTTAGCATAGGTGTGATTTAGTTGTATTCAGACTCAATAGACCTAGGTTGATCAGGTCTTTCTATCACAGCAAAGTTGTGTGGACTCCTCAGTCTTGGTTTCTTGCTCTGTAAAAGGGATAATACTCATATCTATTAACATTTTCACTATTACAGTGCTATTGTGAGGATCAAATGAGATGATAAAACCAATGATAAAGACTCATTGTATCCACAAATTGTTATGTAACTGAATTATTACACTAACCTACCCCATAAATATTTGTTGCCAAAAGAAAAAAAGAATCAAAATATTTATTTTTGATACCTCCTAGAGGAACAAGAGAACAAAGAAGGCTATCACATATACATTAATCTCCATGCCCAGGGCACTGGGCCTAGAGTCAGGAAGACTTGAGTTCAAATACTGCTTTAGACAATTACTAGCTGTATGATGCCAGGAAAGTCATTTAACCTCTGTTTGCCTCAGTTTCCTCAACTGTAAAACGGACATAATAAGAGCACCTACACTGCAAGTTTGTTGTGAGAATCAAGAAAGATTACTTGTACTTAGTAGTATGTGCTGTATAAATGCTTATTCCCTTCTCCTATTAAGGACCTATTATGTGCCAGGCATTGTGCTAAGCACTAGGGATACAAAGGCCAAAAAACAACCAAACCAAACAGTCTCTTGCTCTCAAGAAGTTCACAGTCAAATGAGGGAGAAAACATACAATGACTATGTACAGCTGACATTTACAGGATAAATTGAAGATAATCAACAGAGGGAAGGCCCTAGCATTAAGGGAGAAGGTGGTGCCAAGTTGAGGAGTATCTTTTATTTTAGAGCTGTGAAGACACTAATGGGAGCAGCTAGGTGTCAGAGTAGATGGAGTACTGGGCTTGGAATCAGGAAGGCTCATCTTCATGAGTTCAAATATGGCCTCAGACACACTAGCTGTGTTATCCTGGGCAAGTCACCTAACCCAGTCTGCCTTAGCTCCTCATCTGTAAAATGAAATGGCGTAGGAGATGGCAAACCATTCAAGTATCTTTGCCAAGAAAACTCCAAATGGGGTCACAAAGCATCAGAGAGACTGAAATGTTGGACAAACTAAATAACAACAAAAGGTGCTGATGAAGGGTTTTTAGTTGAGGAGCCATGATTTAGGAATATCATTTTAGCAGCTTTGTGACAGGATGGATTGGAGGCAGAAAAGACTGAAGGGAGGGAGGCCAATTAGGAAAGTGAGTCTAAGTGAGAAGTGATGAGGGCCTGAAGACCTGAAATAGGGAGAAGGGCCTGTGAGTAAAGAAAAATGGATTGAAGTGAGAGATATCACGGAGGCGTAAATGGCTTGGCATCCGGTTGTATGGGTGGACAGTGGCAGAATAAAGAATGACTAATGTCAGGAAACTAGGCGACTGCCCTCAATGGAGGTGCCCCATTGGGAAATGAGGAAGGGCGTTTTGAAGCCGTATATCTTGGGTTCCCTCTTGTCCCTCAAATATCTCTAGCAGATTAGACCATTTCTCCTTGTAAATAACGCTATTACCTTTCCCTCAATCAGATTGTCTCCTCAGGTCCTAATGCTCCTTAAAGTACCCTCTTGGCCTCACCCGAAAAGAGCCACTTCCATCCTTGCCTACTCCTTCCACGGATTTGGTTTCCTCAGCTTGTTCCCACCTAGACGCAATCTCCCCTCGAGGTCATACTTCCACTTCCGTTTCCGTTGAGGAAAAGGAAGAAGCCTATTTAGTTGCCAAGGAGACGGACCGAGGGCCCCGAAAGGTGAAGCGAGGACAGAGACTGCATTCTGATTGGCGCAGAGACCATTCGCCTCCCCGTTCTTCCTCTTAATTTAAGGGATAGTGCCAAGCTTAACTCTTGGCTATGCCTTCGGTGGGAAGACCAGAGTAGTCTTTCACATGCTAGGAAGGGATAGGACGTGGCCGTACCAACCACTAGGACCTTCTCGAAAAGAGTCCCCATAGCAACGAAGCAGAAGAGCCCCCAGCCATTCTGGAAGTTGTAGTCCTTTGATTCTTTAGGCGCAGACGCACTTTCGCGGCTTGTCTGAGGATGCGCGCGCGTTCTCGTCGCCATGATTGGTCCTTCACCCCGAACCAGTTCCTTATCGGAGGTCAGTCTGGGTCCCAGTGCCAGGTATTTAATGACTGGGCCCGATCCTTGACCCCGCCCCCGAGCCAGAGCTGAGCGGATCCGGAAGGGATATGGGACCGAGGGAGGGAGGGGGGCTGGTTTGTTTAAGATGGAGAAAACTGGTGTATGTGAGACAGACTCACGTCAGAATGCCTTCCAGAAGCTGTTCGGGCCGTCGTACTCCAGCATCTTGTTTCTCCCGAAGCAGCAGGGCTTCGGCCCGCGGAGGGACCAGATTCTGATTTCTTCCACCTTGTGTGTGCAGCGCAGCAGCTGGCACAGAGCCTTAAACACAGCTGGTGCCCATTAGATCATCTCCTTCGCCATCCTTAGATCACTTGTATTCACTTGTATGCTCATGTTACACCCTCCCCATCCCACCGCCAGAGAATGTAATCTCCATGAGATCAAGAACTGTCTTGTTTTTGTACCTGTATTCCTAGTGCCTTGCATATAGAGTAAGTGCTATTAAATGTTTGTTGAATTAAATTAGATATTTTATGAAAGCACGAAACTCACCAGGTGCCCATTCGTTAACCTGACTCTCTGGCTAAACCTTCAGTGCAGTGTAGGAATTTGAGGCATTTTGAGGAATTTGATATTTCTGGTCTAATTTTATCTTCTCTCTGTGTCCACAGCAGTCCTGCATAGAATCTATAGTTATCTAGCCTGGAACTTCAGAGGAAGGGCTCCTGCTGAACAGACAGATACCTCAGCCCCTGAGTGAAAATCTCAGATGATGTGACTTTGCCTCCAAGACCCTTAGGCCTTTGGAAACAAACAGGAATCAGGCCTAGAAGCAGATCTATTTGGCCTTAGACCTTTGGCAGAAACTTCAAGAGGGACCTGGTTCTTGAGTGGTTGATCAATTTATAACTATCTTGCCTGGCTAAAGAGAACTGGAGTGACTTAAGAATATCTAGAATAAGAAGTGTGACTTTCAAGGATCTGACCCAAATGCTTGGAGAGAAAGGTGAGACTAAAAAGAAGAGCAGAGAAGAGATGTGGATGAGCCAGAGAAAAGGTTATAGACCAGTTGCTAGGGCTTTGTCCCTAATGAAAAGTAAACATTCTTTTATCTGAAATTATCTTCCTTTTTAGAAAGTTTGTTCAATGAAGGAAGTACCATACTTTCTGGATTGGGATATTGTATGGGAATAAAATCCACCCAGCATTGCACTCTTACTCAGCATTTGACAAACGATGATTCTGGGAAGGGACCAAAAGCAGAGTGTTCTAAAATATTGTCAAGAACCAAAGCCTGGGACAGTAAGAATGGGACTTTCTGAGACTGTGAATCCTGAAACAAAAGCATATAGCCAAACACTTTGGCTTCAGTGAATGCTCTGCAGATAGTGAGCTTCAGCTGTCTGGCTGAACTTGGAAGTGAACTCTGGCTTGAGACTATGATTATAATGCCTAGAACCTGCTAAGGCCACAAGCATGGAATGTAGCGCAAGCTGATGTTAGTCACGCGTATTAGTTGTACGTCTTGTTTGTATATTTGTTTGCTGATATCTTCCCCATTAGATGGTGCGCTTCTTGAGGGCAAGGACTTTTACCTCTTTTTGTATCCTTAGCACTAAGCACAGTGCATGACACATAGTAGGCATTTAATTAAGGATTATTGATTGACTGACAGTATCATGAATCCATTCTGATCCTGACTAGCAGATGGGACTTCTTCTGAGTTCCATTTCACTTTTCTTTCCCTCCACAAGGTGTGTGGAAGTCACGGCCAATTGCACAGTGAAGATTTCTAGTCTATTGAGTCTGGGAACCACAAGGCAGGAAAATATCTCATGATTCCTTCCTTTTCCACAGTTCTGTTTTCTTGGAAATATGCATTTATCCAAGAGGGAAACATTGAGGAACAAAGAAAGACCTCTGAATTCCTTACAGCCAGGTTCCAGGTGAGTTGGGAATTGTTGGTTTCTGTCTTTTCCCCTTCTAACTCTGTCTCTCTCTGCCCTCAAATGTCATCTCCTGTTTGAGGATAGAACATTTCCTTCCTGCACCTAGGAATATGTTCCATCCAGAAGGGAGCTCCAGTTGTTCTGTTCTAGGAGACTGAAAATGTGTCCGTGTTATGTAATGCCATTTCAGAGTGACCTTCTCCTCCTCACCAGGAATCCACCCATATATAAGGTTATTCAGTTCTACTATGTGCCCAATACTGTGAGCCTGTGATCAAAAAAAAAAGAAGAAAAAGACAAAATCCTTGTCCTTGTGCCTTGCACCTTTTTTTTTTGTCAAGGCAGTCGGGGTTAATTGACTTGGCCAGGGTCACACAGCTAGTGTCAAGTGTCTGAGGCTGGATTTGAACTCAGATCCTCATGACTCCAGGGCTGGTGCTCTATCCACTGGGCCACCTAGTTGCCCTGGCCTTGCACTTTCATTGGGGAAAATAGATATGTAGATGGAAACAATAGATATTGACGCACCCTTTCTAGAGGCAATATAATGTTGACTGATTACTCTTCTCAGAGCAAGAGGTAGAAAGAGGCATTGTAGGGGACTGGGAAGGAAGGATAGAAAATGATGGGGGAAGGTAAATAAAGATGAGAATATAAGAATATGTAGAACTGAGCTGGCAGGATAAAGTTCAGAAGGGCAATTCAACAAACTTAATCATGTGTAAGACTCTAAATGAGGCTCTGGGGAAACAAATATTTATATGACACAGGCTCTACTCTTAAGGAGTTCACAATCTAATGAGTAAAAAGAAATACACCAAAACTTTTGATTCAAGAAGGAATGAGGTTGGTTACAAAGGAGAGATTTGAGAAGAATGAGGAGGGGAGAGATCACTTTCCTTTTTGGTTTAAGGAGGTAGGATAGGGGTGAAGTCAAGGAAGGCTTTATAAAGGAAGTACTAATTGATTTTTAGTCTTCGAAGGAAGGGAGGTACTTCAGTAGCTGGAGAAAGTTAATAAGGGTAACTTAAAAGTCTACTTGAGCTTATTTCAGTTATGAATTTCTTAATCTACATTTGTTGTAATTGAAATCAGAATGGTTTCTGTAAGCTACGCAAAGAAGTCACTCATCACATGTCATTTAACCTCCTCTCTCTGTATAAATAAGTGTAACCTCATGTGCTAAACCAGGCTGAGAGTAACTGAGGGGCCTCAAACCCTTCAGTGAGTTTAAGGGGGTGTCTACCCCAAGCATGTGAAGATCTCCCCCAGAAGAATGGGCAGATGAGTATGATTGGTTCCAACAGCCATGAAATTGGGCGCTGTGGAGTACTTAGAGCTTGGTTAGACATTGAAGACACCAAGGTCACCCACTGCATCCTGAGACATCACCAGTTGTCTCGACTTTTGTCTTGCCACTGGACTCTGATGACTCTGGAAGAGAGAGTGAGGCCAACGACTTGGTGCAACTCTGCCTCACTTAAAATCAATTTATGCATCTGTCAAAAGATATCACCCATGCCATTTTACCATTTTTACCTACCTCAGTCCTGTGGTGACAGGCAAATGAAGCAGTAGGTGCAGATACACTGGGAGCTGTAGTCACAACTCTGCACACAGGCAGCCCAGACCATGGAGTCACCTTCTTATTGGACTGAAACAACAGTGGGATTTGGTCTGAGTAGTCTTTTTTAAGACTGCACTACTTACCCCCTGGTGTGAGGAAGGGGCTAGAAAAGGTGCCCTAAAAATTGTCTGCTTTACATAACCTAATCCTGGCCTGCTTATTACCATGGCAGGTGGAGGTCTTCTCTGTGGTCAAAATACAAAAAAATGTCCAAACACTTTTGTGAATATGATTCCACCCACCATTGGTACATGGAATGTGTTCACACTTATGGACAACAGGAAATCCAGTAGACTTGAAAGATGAGCAGCTTTTTCTCTGAGAGAATTCAAGTATCACATCCAAATAGCAGCCCTGAATGAAACAAGGCTAACAAATGAAGGCTAGCTTACCAAAATCAAAGCTGGATACATGTTTTTTTTCTTGAGTGGCTGCAGTGATGGGGAGTGCCATGAAGCTGGCATAGGTTTCACAATCAAAACATTCTGGTCATCAAGCTTGTATGCCTCCCAAAAGGAGTGAATGACAGGCTCATGACAATGCAATTGCTACTTACAGGAAAGCACCACACCACCGGTCACCAGTGTGTATGTTCCCACCATGACACTGATAAGGTCTAAGAAAAATTTTATGAAAACCTGAAGACCCATATCATCAGTGTGCTGAAAGATGACAAGCTTATAATTCTCGGTGACTTTAATACCAGAGGAGGCACAGACTATTGGACATGGCAGAGCATCCTTAAGAGGAACAGCAACAGCAGTGGTCACGAGACTTGTGTATCTCATGGCCTTCTCATCGCCAACACTGTATTTCATTTACCTAAATGCAATAAAACCATGAATACATCCTCACAGCAAACATTGTCTTTTAATATACTATGTCTTTCTGAGGCAGCTAGATGGCACAATGGATAGAGCACCAGCCTTGGAGTCAGGAGGACCTGAGTTCAATCTGGCCTCAGACACTTGACACTTACCAGCTGTGTGACCCTGGGCGAGTCACTTTTGCTTAGCCCAAAAGAAAAACAGACTATGTCTTTCTAAGGAGAAGAGATAGGATGTGAGAGTGATGAAGGTGATGTATGGCACAGAGTGCTGGACCAGTCATAGATTTATCCTCTCCAAGCTAAACATTCACATTCAACAAAAGTGGTGGCAAAGCAAGGAGACTACCAGAAGACAATGTCAGTGGAGTGCTTCTCTCTGTGTATACAGTTTGTTGCTAATTTGGAGGAAAGCTGAGTCAACACAGTTGGCATCAGCAGAGTAGAAAAGGAGTAGAAAGCTTTCAGAGGATTGGTATACAGCAGCTCATTTACTCATCTGAGCCAGAACACTCACAAACATCAAGATTGGTTTGATGAAAGTAACAGGGAGATTCAGAAGCTGCTAAACAAAAAACAAAAGTGCCAGCAGGTTTACCAGCAGGATTGTTCATCCGTCTCTAAGAAGGCAATACTTAACTCCATCAAAAGTAAAGTACAAGCAAAACTTAGAGACATGCACAATTCTTGGCTCAGTAAGAAAGCAGATGAAATTCAGTTTTATACTGATAGTAACAATCCAAAGGACTTTTATGATACCCTGAAGGCTATATATGGGCCAGAGATCTATGGTGCATCTTAACTACTCAGCTCTGATGGAGTCACTTTGGTTAGTGATCAAGGATGTGATCCTGGAGAGACGGGCTGAACAGATTCATGGTGTTCTCAACAGACCATCATCAACCAGTGCTGAAGCCACTGACCACATACCTCAGGTTGAAGTCAGTCCCTCTCTAGCCAAACTTGCCATTAGATTCCTCTCATGTGGCAAAGTGCCTGGTGCTAATTTTTTTCCAGCTGAGATTTATAAGGCAGGTGGTCCACTGCTCATACAAAAGCTGACAAAAATCTTCTGAGTTATATGACAAGAGGAGATTATTATTCCCCAGGAGTTCAAGGATGCTCAATGGAGCACTGAGGCATTTTTGTAAAGGAAATAAGTTGTCCTGTGACAATCACAAGAGGGTCATTGCTGGCAGGATTCTTGCCAGGGTCCACCTTGATAGGCCCTTCACCTGGAAGATGGTCATCTACCTGAGAGCCAATGTGACTTCAGAAAGGGCCAAGGAGGAATTTACATGGTATTTGTTGACCAACAACTCCAGGAAGAATACTAGGAGCAGAACAGACTTCTATACACAACACTCATTAATCTGACCAAGGCCTTTGATACTGTCATTCATTTGGACTTGTGGTAGATCATGGCAAAATTTGGTTGCCCAGAGAAGTTTATCAGTGTTGTACATCAGTTCCATGATGGCATGCTTGCCCTGGTTCTGGATAATGGATGATGCTCTCAAGCTTTCCGAGTCACCAGTAGGAAGATTCTGAAGATCACCTGGCAAGATATGGTACCTGACACTTTCTTGAGTCCTTTCTTGAGCTGAACTTCCAAGCATTCAGATTCCGCTGCAGAGAATGCAACTCTGATGGACTGGGCACATTGGTTGAATGCCAAACATACATTTGCCTAAAAGACTATTTTACTGAGAACTCACACAATGCAAATATACACAGTGGTGAAAAGAAGTGATACAAGGACACTCTCAAGGTCTCTCTGAAGAACTTTGGACTTGATTGAAAGACATGGGGAATGATGGCCCAAGACCACCCAGCATGGCATGCCTGCATCAAAGAATGTGCTGTGCTGTTTGAGCAAAGCAGAATTTCAGTAGCTGAAAAGAACTTGAGATGCATAAATTTAGAGACATCTCTGCACCAAATGTTCATATAGACTATTTGTGCCTGACCTGTGGTAGAGCCTTCTGACAGACACACCATACCTTGACTCCAACATAGTGATTTTGGTCGTCTTCAAGCATGAAGGACAACTGCTACAACTATCATCCTATATCTCTTCTCTTTGTAGATAAACATCTTGAAAGGGCCTTTTACAATAGGTGCCTCCATTTTCTGTCCTCTAATTTTCTTCTCATCCCCTTAATATTCAGCTTTTGACCTTATCGTTCCAATGAAACCAAAGTTATTGATAATCTCTTGGTTGCCAAGTCCAATTATCTTTTTTCAACCTTCATCCACAACCTCTCTTCAGCCTTTGACAATGTTGATCACTCTCTTTTCCTTGATACTCTCTTCTCTCTGGTTCTTCTCCTTCCTATCCAACCCAGGATGAACATCCAAAACAGAAATGAGACCTAATGAAAAGCATACTTCTGAAGTCTGTAATATAACTTATTGTAGAAAAGTTAACATTTCTGGCACTTAGTAGCTGTGATTTCTGAGCCTCACTTTCCTAATATGCACAATGAAATAATAATACTTTGACTACCTACAAGTGTTATAAAGAGGAAAGTATTTTGTAACTGTTAAGTAGTATGCAAAATGTTACTTATTATTAACTGTATCATATAATATGCTTTTAATTAAAAAAAGAGACTATTATTAACATAAGCTACTATTAAAATATCCAGGAGGTTTGCAGCAATATCATTCTCAATATGCTCAAACATTGCAACCGCACATCCAACCCACCAGATGTCCAGACGTATTGCTTTAAATGCCTATGATATATATATCAAGTTATTCCACTTGTGTGTGGCCTAATATAAAATTATGGCTTCTAGCCCCTAAATCCGTGTTTGTATATATCTGGGCACCATAGACTTTTCCCAATAACTAAAGGTGGATAATAGTCACAAACAGTGATTTCAGGAAGTCCTTATCATCAATACAGAGGTATAATTACCCCTATTTTTTTGGACCAAAAAAAGAGTGGATTGCCATATGATGATCACAAAGCCCAGATAAAGCCTTTTCATATGTGGTCTTGATTATATTCCCTCAGTACCTGCCACTCCCATTCATTTACTGCATAAATGGCAGCAGGTCAGAAGGATGATCATGCTCATGTTGCAGGAGAACAGCTAGGCGCTTTCCTAATGAAAAATCTCTTTCAAGACCTGGTATTCTTTATGTATTATCCCATAGTTTCCTGAGGCAAGGCAACTACTGCTAAGGTTGATTCTTAGAGGGACTTGAGAGCCTCTTCAGGGAAGGTACATCATTGCATGATCCAGTCTTAAAGTAGAAGGAATTTGTGATGCTGCAGCATTGTAGCCTGAACACAATTTGTACTGTATGCATCTTGACTTTCCCCCAAGATTATCTGGCCTGAGTGATCTCCCCACCTGTCATGTTACATAGCCTTATTATGAGATAATGTAGTATGGTTGCTAAAAAATAGATAAGTCTTCTACTTTTTTAATATGTCTACAGTGGGGCAGATAGGTGGTGCAGTAGATAGTACACTGCACTTGGAGTCAAGAAGACCAAGTTCAAATCTTGCCTTAGAAACTTAATACTGTGTGAAACATGGCACGTCACTTAACCTTTGTTTACCTCAGTTTCCTTAACCTAAACTGGGGGTAGTAATGGTACGTCCCTCACAGTGTTGTTGTAAGGATCAAATAAGAGAATATCAGCAAAAAAATGCTTAGTACAGTGCTTAACACATAGTAAAGGCTATGCAAATGCTTATTCCCTTCCTTTTCTCTTCTCTGTGGTTCTGAGAATAAGGAAGGGAAAAGATAGACCTTCCACTGTGTTTTTCTTGGTCAGACTTCATCTAGGATATCATGTTCTGTTCTTCATGACACATTTTAAAGGAAACGTTGATTCACTAGAACATATCTAGAAGTGGATGACCAGCATGAAAAAAAGTCATATGAGAAATTGTTAAAGAACTAGAATGTTTAGCCTTGAAAAAATTTAGTTAAGCTATAATAGTCACCTTCAATTATTTGGGAAGCTGATACATAAAAGATCAACTTGATTTATTCTTTGTCCTTCCAAAGAGACAGCTAGGAATAATGGATAAATATTCTGGGAGGCATATTGCTGCTCAATAAAAGAAAGAAATTTCTAACCTTTAGAGAATCACAAAAATGGATTGGGCTGCCTTATGAGACAATGACCTCACTGAAAAATTCAAGCATAGATAAGATAAAGATACTTGACTGAAGGTAGATGTTATAGTCAGAGTTTCTTAACTTAAGGTCCATGAACTTGATTTTTTAAAAGATTTTGAAAATTATATGTCAATATAATGTATTTCTTTGCATTTCTATGTAATTAATTTTATGCATTTAAGAGCATTATTCTGAGAGGGATTCATAGGCTTCACTGGAATGCCAAAGGTGTTCATGACACACAAAAAAAAGGTTAAAAACCCCTGTTGTAGTGAGTATTTCTCTGTTGACTAGAAGGTTATTATCAGATGGCCTCCAAGATCCTTTCCAGCTTCATAGCCCTGTAATTCTTTTGTGAAGTCTTCCTTAGCTTAGTAAATCCATAGGGACTTCTTTCCTCTCTCCTGTGCACTTAATATCTATACCATGCAGTTTAGCACTTTAATAAGTAATGTCTTGTCTTGTTCTACACTTGTATCATGTGTATGTTTTTCTCCCAGTTAAAACACAAGGGCTTTGAGAACACTATATATAAACAACCATATTTTGTGCCTCTTATGTGATCAGAAAAGGTACTAGAAGGTAATTAAATAGTAGCAAATAATTTGCTTAACTTAAAATAATCAGTTTCTGGATTCCCATAAAAATTTAATTATCCTGTTTACTGCTTTTGATGCTGCCAACTTTCTCCAGTGTCATTTCAGTGGATTTCCCTAGGTTAAACAAGGATGGGTTTGTCATTTCAGGAATCACTGACATTCAAGGATGTGGCGGTGGACTTCACTCAGGAAGAATGGCAGCGACTGAAACCTGATCAGAGATACCTGTATAGAGATGTAATGCTTGAGAACTATAGGAACCTGGTCTCTTTAGGTAAGGGTGGCTTTCCTGTGTATCTAACCACCATTGAGCACCATTTTTTCCCTCATTTACCAAAAGTTATGGTGCCTCTGAGATCTGTGTCAGAATCCAAAGTTCAATGATCGTATATTCCTAATCCCTTTGTAGCAAAGAAACAGAGTACACCTTTCCAGGGAAAGATCCATATTTTGTACAGTAAGAAAAAAGTACTCTTTATGTACTAGCTATTATGTTGTACATTTCTTATTTTTCATAGTTCTTGAGGAAAAAGTTTTGGGGATTTTTCTGGAGTAGTACTTTTTTCTAACAAAAAACACTCAAGTTTTTCATCTTTCTATATGGACAGGATATCAGGTTTCCAAACCAGATGTGATCTCCCAATTGGAACAAGGTGAAGAGCCTTGGACAATAGAAAGAGAAGTCTCCACATATTCTTGCCGAGGTAGGTAAAAAAAGGAAGTAGATGGAGTGTTATACGTAACAGTTATGACAGTCAAAATCTAGTAAATTATAGTTTTATAGTTTTACAGCTGAATGGTATCCTAGAGGTTGTTTTGTTTAATACAAGAACCACCAAATACAGGAACCCCTATGGCAAAGAAAACCAAGATAAAGAGAAAGTCTGCATTGAGGCAGAAGACATGTTGGGGCCAATGAAGAGACTTACATCTAAGTCTCCTAGTTTTTTGTCTGAGGTATAATTTTATTTCAGACTCAGGAATATGGAAAGAAGTGATTATGTAACTTCTCTAAAAGATCTACAAGTCCAGCCTTTGCTTGATCATTTCAAGGGATAAGGAGCTCATTACTTTGTGAGGTAATCTCTTCATTTTAAGGCAGTTATAATTACTAGGTTCTTAATATTGATCTGAAATTTGCCTTCTAGAAGCTGCTTCTTATTTACTGATCCTAATTCAGCCCTCTGGAGCAAAGCAGAATGTCTTCTACCTGTTCAGCCCTCTATCTTATGGTTATAACTCCCTATATAGACAATTCTGTTGTAATTTATAGTCTTGCTTAAATTATTTGCCTATGTTCATACCACTGTTATGTGTCAGGACCTGTAACTTAACTTCATACCTCCAAGGCCAGCCCTCTATCCTTTACAATATGCTACTTTTCATGTAACTATAATAAAAGCATAGAAAGGAAAGATCAAAGCAAGGAGTCAAAGAAACCTTTTTTTTTTAACAATTGAATATTTATTTCCTAAAGAGTTTTTTTGCTTTTTTTTTGGGAAGAGGAATAGATATATTCCAGGTAAAGAGAACAGGATGAATAAAAGCTTGGAGTGAGGAATTGTTTAGTATCAATCAGCAGGCATTTATTAAATCACTACTGTGTCGGGACACTGTGCTTGGAATACCGTCTACAAAGAAGCCTTTCCCAGGCCTCCCTAATCTTATTGACTTCCCTCTGAGCTTATCTCCAGTATATATCTTGTTTTCATGTTGCTTCCCCATTAGACTGAGAGCTCCTTAAGATAAGGGACTGTGCTTTTTTCTTTAATACTTATTGACTTGACATAGACAAAAAAACATGAAGAAATCTCTCTTCCCAAGGAACTTATCTTCCATTAGCTTTTTATAACATCTACTATATGTGCCTGGAACTGTGCTAAGCACTCTACAAATATTATCTCATTTGATCTTCACAACAAGCCCCAGAGGTAGGTGCTATTGTGTTCCTCATTTTACAATTGCAGGAACTGAGGCAAACAGGTTAAGTGACTTGCCCAAGGTTACACAGTAAGTGTCTGATACTGGATTTTGAGCTCAGGTTGTCCTAACTCCAGGCCCAGCATTCTAGCTACTGTGCCATCTCTCTACCTAGTATGTAGATGTATAAGAAGATACAGAATAAACATAATGTGTATGGAAGAAATATAAAATAAGAGGTTATTAGAAAGGGGTAGGAGGGAGGGTTGTGGAGAATCCGGAAAGGCTTTGCACTTGAATTGCATCTTGAAAGAAGTGAAGGATTCTGTGAGGCAGAGGTAGAAAGGAATTATATTCCAGGCATGAAGGATGGCCAGTACAAAGGCACAAGTACAGAAGAAAGTGCTATGTATGAGAATCAGAGAAAAGGCCAGTTTGGCTATACTGTAGAGTCTGGGAAAGGGAATAATTTATGAGGCTAGAGAGATAGGATGGGGCCAAGTGGTAAAAGCAAAATAGAGCAGTTGATATTTTATCCTAAAGGCAATAGGAACCCAGTAGATTATATTGAGTAGGGAAATAACATGATCAGATCCATGCTTAAGGATAAATTCTTTGGCAGTTATACAGAGGATGCATTATAATGGGAAGAGACTTGAGGCAGGGAGACCAATTGGAGGCCATTACAATAGTCTAGGCTATAGCATGTGGGAGATAATTAAGAGAGTGCTTGACTAATAGTATTACTATCATAAATTATAATTGATTTTCATATAATGCTTCAAGGATTGCAGGGTATGATTCATATATTATGCTAGTTAACCCTCAGAACAACCCTATCATGTAGATATTATTTTTGCATTTTACAGATGAGAAAATTGAGGCCCAATGAGGTTAAGTGACTTGTGCATTATTATACTGCCTTTTTCTTTCCACTTCTACTCCTAATACTTCTGATTAGGGCATGCCTCTTGAAAAATAAGAGTAAATGGGTAATATGAGGCCAGTTTGTGAAGGACTTAGACTTCCAAACTGAGGACTCATCTTCATGTTATAGGCAATAGGGAGGTATTTTAGGATTTTCATTAGGAGAGCAACATCAGCATATGAGGGCAACAGTTCATAGTGGTGAGATTGGTCAAAACAAAAAGGAAATTGTGTAGGACTGCAACTCCAAATTTTTTATCGTTATGCTAGCCGAAAGTCTGAGAATAGCCAGACATAAAAGATTCAGAAAGTCAAAGAAGAATAGAAAAGGCTATGCTCAGTGGACAAAGTGAATTTTGGCAGTTAGGACCAATTCCAAGAAAACAAAACAAAACAAAAATACCAATGTTCAGAGTGTAGTAGTTATACTGATCAAAAGGAGCCATTGGTTTTCCCTCTCCATCCTTCATAGTTCCTACTGAATATAAGTAGCCCTGATCCCAAAGGCATATGCATGAAGAGAGTACAACTGAACAGAAATAGGATCACTGTGACTGCAAAAAAGGCCCTAAATATGGTTTAAAGGAGCTGCAAGCTGTATGCTTATAGACAGGAAATTATCTTTTATGAAGGATTTCTTTGGTATCAGTGTGTAAAACTTATTGGAAAGGATAAGATCCAGGAGATTAGTTAGGGCTCTATTACAATAACCAGAATATGAGTTAATGAAATTCTAGACTCAGGTTCCAATTGCTTCCCATAATCCTTATATTTACTCTTAGCCATAGTCCTTCTCTTTAGACTTCTCCAACAGTCATCTTTCTTGTTTTCTGCTCTTTATCAGTAGATCAGAATTGTTGAATTGTCTGTGCTCACTTTATTTATTGGATCAATTTTTCTCCAACTATTTATGTTCACATCTCACTACTCCTTGACACATTTACTTTTCTATCTCTAAATTACAAATATTGAATTCAATATTTAAATGTTTCCAATGCCACCTATATTTATTCTCATAATTATTATCACTTTTACTCTTCTCACTTTAGTAGTTTCTTTGATCCCAGAACAGGCAACAGGGCACAGTTGCATTTTTTCTTTCTTTTTTTCAGACTGGGAGACCAGGAATAAAACCAAGGCCTCAACTCTAAAGCAAGACATTCCTGAAGCAGAATCATCATCCCAGAAAGTGACGTTGGGAAAATTCACAAGGGATGGCATCTGGTACCCTGAGCTAGGAGAAACTGATTCCCAATTTGGAATAGAGCAGAATATCAAGAAGACAGAGCTGAGACAAACTACAGTCTCCCAAGCAAAAATAATCCCTAGGAAGACAAATTACAAGTGTAATGAATATAGCCTGGTTGCAGAACAAATTGTTCCTTCAAAAGATATCACTCATAAATGTGATATATATAGGAAAACCTTCTACTGTAATTCACAATTAATTGAATGTCAAGAAATCTGTTTAGAGAAAAAGCTCTTTGAGTGTAATGAATGTGGGAAAGCTTTTAGTAAAAGTACAATTCTTAAGAACCATCAGAGGATCCACACTGGTGAGAAACCCTATAAATGTAATGAGTGTGGAAAAGCCTTCAGACTTCGTGGAAACCTTACTCGACATAATAGAGTTCATACTGGAGAGAAGCCCTATGAATGTAATGAATGTGGGAAAGCTTTCAGGCTTCGTGGAAACCTTAATCAACATAAAAGAATTCATACTGGGGAGAAACCCTATGAATGTAATGAATGTGGGAAAGCCTTCAGATTATATGCACACCTTACTCAACATAAAAGAATTCATACTGGAGAGAAACCTTATGAATGTAATGAATGTGGGAAAACTTTCAGATTGCAGGGACATCTTACTAAACATAAGAGCATTCATCCTGGAAAGAAACCCTATAAATGCAGTGATTGTGATAAGACTTTCAGTAAGGGTTCACTCCTGGTGAGTCATCAGAGAGTCCATACTGGAGAAGTACCTCATAAATGTAATGAATGTGGGAAAGCCTTCAGTTCACGTGCAAGCCTTACTCAACATAAAAGAATCCATACTGGAGAGAAACCATATGAATGTAATGAATGTGGAAAAGCCTTCAGCCAGAACGTATGCCTTACTCAACATAAGACTGTCCATACAGGAGAAAAACCTTATGAATGTAATCAATGTGGGAAAGCCTTCAGTCAGAGCAGACACTTAAATCGACATCAAAGAATTCACACAGGAGAGAAACCATATAAATGTGATGATTGTGGGAAATCATTTAGCAATGGTGAATTCCTTAGGCAGCATCAGAGAGTCCATACTGGAGAGAAACCCTATAATTGTAATGAATGTGGAAAAGCCTTTAGACTTCGTGTACACCTTACTAGACATAGGAGCATTCATACTGGAGAAAAACCCTACAAATGTAATGAATGTGGAAAAACCTTTCGTCTGAGTACACACCTAACTCAGCATAAGACCATTCATACTGGAGAGAAACCTTACAAATGTAACGAATGTGGGAAAACCTTCCGGTTGAGTACAGACTGTACTCAACATCAGAGAATTCACACTGGAGAAAGACCCTATGCTTGTAATGAATGTGGGAAAGCATTTTGGGACAGGTCATCTTTTACTAAACATCAGAAAATTCATACCGGAGAAAAACCCTATGAATGTAATGAATGTGGAAAAGCCTTCATTCAGAGTTCATCCTTTATTCAACATTGTATTACTCATACTGGAGAGAAACCCTATGAATGTAGTACATGTGGGAAAGCCTTCAGCCTTCATGCGAACCTTATTCGACACCAGAGAATTCATACTGGGGAGAAACCCTATAAATGTGATCAATGTGGGAATGTCTTCAGGCACAGTTCAACCCTGATAAGACATCAGAGACTTCATAGTGTAGAATAATACAGAATTTAGTGAGTGAAGGAAAAGTTTTTGTTAGATGTTCCTTATTTAGATACCCTGTGGCCATCGTGTCACCAGCTATGATTTTGTTTGGTGTGTTTTCATGAGACATATGCTTCCTTTCATATTATTCACCCGTTGTAATTCATGTGGAAGAGGAAGTGGCTTGTTTTGCTTGTCCCAGAGAGTAGGCCTAGGAAAAGTGGTTGAAACTTACAGAAGCAGGGCAGCTAGGTGGTGCAGTGAATAAAGCTGTGGCCTTGGAGTCAGGAGGGCCTAAGTTCAAATCTAGCCTCAGACACTTAACACTTACTAACTGTGCGACCCTGGGCAAGTCACTTAACTCTAATTGCTTCACCAAAAAAAAAAAGTTACAGAAGCAGGATTTTGCTAGTAGTAAGGAAACATTTTCTAACAATTAAAGCTATCTCAAAGCATAATTAACTGGCTTAGCAGAGCTCAGATTTGTTTTCCCTAGAAAACTTATAGTAAAAGCTTTGATGGCCATTTGGTGATGGAAGGATAGTGATCGAGGTAATAATTATTCATATATGGATTGACCTAGCTGGCCTGCAAGTTCTCCTTTCAACATCAAGATTCTGTGGCCCTCCTACCTGTCTCTCCCTTCTACAAAATATAGCTGTAAAAATAATATTTCTAGTCCACTGGTCTGACCATGGAGACCAAATGATGTGGTCTGATCACATCATTTCCAAGCTATAATTGTTTTACTTTCCCACCTGTTTTCATTCGTACATACATTCCATTCTTCATGCCTAGAATATATTCCCATCTCATCTCTGCCTTTTTGAAACCCTCTTTTTCTTTTAAAACTCTGATGCCATTTTTTCCTCAAAGTCTTCCTTCCCCAGTCTCTATGACTGAAAGTCACCTCTCAGTCTTCAAAATTTCTTAGACATTTTTTCAGGAATCACTTCTGTATCCTTATCACATTTTACCTTGTATCATATGTCCCTGTGTACATGTCTTATTCCTTTTATTATATATTGTAAGCTCTTTGAGGGCAGATATTGACATTTTTCATCTTTGTATACTCAGAACTTGGCACAGTACCTTGCACATAGTAGGTGCTTAATAAATGTTTGTTGAATTTAATTGGATTACCAGGGTTAGTGATACCAGGTATCCATGATCTGTGATCTATCTCAGATTAGGAGCCCAGGTTTGACCCAACAATATAGCTAAATATGGGATGTGGATAAGAAAAGGGGGTATTTAAAAAGGCAGAAGATAATGGGGACTAAATTAATGGAAGTCAATCGGGAGAACTCAGCTCCCCGGGGTACAAATGTATTGGACTTTTATAGCAATATTTTCTATGGTAGCACTCCTACAACACATACACATATACACTTCAGTGGGAAACCAAAGCCATCCATCTCCTCCATATTGGATTCAGTAAAGTAGATCTGAGCTGTTTTCCATTACACTTCTAGAGCAGCAGGACCTCAGTTCAAGGTTACATAAGAGTAGGAATAACAAGGTGCTATGACCAAAAGAATGGGGTGGAGTTGACTAAAATCCTCTTAACCCATGATAGGTATGATCAAGAGTCCTTGCCTATAGGGGAAGAAAAAAATTCCAGGGAGAAAAACCATTGAATTTAAACTTTGAAGAAACCCAAGAGAGAGAAGAAGGCTGGCAGATCACCCTTGTTAACAAAACTGAACAGAATTCAGAATGATTAGAATACCCTTTAGCATAACTCAGCCCCCAAGAGGACATGAAAGAAGGTGCAGAGGATGTTGGATAGAAAAGTATTGTTGCCTAGAGCAACAATAACAATATATCTGTTAAGCAATAACAGATATATACAGGTTGTTAATCATTCTTTCTACCCTCCCATCCCATCCCGTCACTCCTTGCCATGCAACATCGTTCTACCCTCCTTCCCAGTAGGAAGAAAGATGGGTCTTAAAGTGGTCTTCAAAGGTACTGTCAGTACAGTAGTAATAATAAGGCACTGTAGGCTTCAGAGGTGCAAGAGAGGACAGGTAACACTTCATGATGTAGTTTTCTTGAGTTATTCCCTGTAGGGCTTAACTCGTGAGAAACAAATGAATATTGATTGATTATATAACTATGACTATTATACAGGATGTCCCAGAAGTCTTTGTGTAGTCTTAAGCTATTAGTATTAAGCTTTAATAGCTTAAAACTGCATGAAGACTTTTAGGATACCCTGTATTTAAGGGTGACAAATAAAGAGAAGGGGGACTAGTTTATCTTGGATCACTCCAGTCCATATTTGGGTAGTAAGAGCCAGTGTAAGGAGTACAGGACATTAGACTGCTTGGGCCAATTGAGGTGGTATAGCTTTAATTCCTTCAGTGATTTGTCCTGACTGTCCTTCCCATGTATCATTTCAGTGCTTAGAGATATTCGTGAAGTGTCTTTTATCTTCAGGGCCATTGCCCATAAACAATATGCACCAAAATTAGGGAAGTCAGCATTAATTAAAGTTAGTTCTATATCTACTATAGTTAGTTGCACTGGTTGTGCTTACCTCTAATTTCTTGTGGGCATATATGACAGGGCAGTGAACTTGAAGAATAGGTACAAGTACTGGAGACCACAATAAAATGAGCAGATTTTGTAAGAGAATTTTTAGGAGAGCTAAAGGAAATTTTAGAAGTCAGCATATTAGAGATGGGATACTTCTGAATGATGATGAAGTTTTAAGTTGTGCCCAAGCTGGAGGGTGATTAGAGTGAAATAGAGGGATAGCAGACAATAGAGAGGGTCCAGGATCTGTAAATCCAAGGTCTTAGAAAAGTCATCAGCATGAATATTGATATCTCTTATGATAGTGATGGTGGGGATGGGGTGGAGTTAAAGATTGAGACCAAACACTTATGTCATTGTAGAAAGTGAGAGCCTTCTCTGGAGGTCAATAAATGACTGAAATGGATAATGTATTGGTCCAAGAGACCAGATTCTTTCAGGATCTGGAAAGGATTTGTTTGGCACACTCACTACAAGGAATGAATCATTTCATAGAAAGGAAGAGAAAGGATACACAGAGATTTGAGTTCCCATCAGCCATACAGCCACCAAAGTGCCAAGAAACTCCCACAGAAGGAATACACCATGTTTGTCCGATTGGGGGAGGGGTTGTGTGAAGGGAAAAGAATACTACATCATTTAGGCTGAAGACCAAAACTGATTGGCCATCCCACCTCAACCCTCATCCTTATTTTTGCCTAACCTATTATAAGACAGCTAGTTTAGATCTCTTGCACTGGTGACTGGTTAGGCTCCAAGGGACCTCCAACCTGAGCTGCAAGCCCCATGCTAATAGTCTAGGTCATTAAGAGGAAACTTCTTTTCCTCTTTGTTTTAGAAAAATGGGCACATAAGTTAATAGGTTGTACTAATACTGAATAACAGGAATTAAAATATCAAGTAAATATATATACATATATATATATATATATATCGATATATATATATCAGTGCAGTATGGAAGGTAACTGCCTAAAGGATGTATAACTATAAGATATTTATGGATATGATGAAACTTAAAAGTTAATTATAGAACAGGATGTACACAAATATGTGTGCATATATGTATGTATATACATATGTATACTATATATATGCATATATATATACACACAGTATATATGGAAGATAGCTTTGCTACAAAATAGGATTTATCATTAGAACAGGTATAATATCTATCATTCCAAAGATTGTCACTTATCACTTCTTGACTAGGCATGGGTATCTTTATGTAGGTATAAGTCTGTTTATGGCCTAAGCGTGTTATTTAGATGTCCCCTGGAAATAGTTTCAAAGCTTTAAGATATGTTATTCAGAACACCACAGGTGAAGAAAAAAATAAAGAAAAGCTGGCACAAACTTCAAAAGAGGAAAAGTTGGCATGTAATGGAGAAAGAATAATTGTTTCATAGGAGAAAAAAACAGGTTTGGGAAACTTGGGGAGCAAAGGAAGGAATGGGGGAAGAAAGATCAGCACAAAGTCACCTAGGCCAGGAAAAGAATAGCATGGTTCAAGCTAATGAAATTGGTTAGAAGTGTCAAATGTAACAGTAATTGGGAGTGAATACTGAGAAAAGACCTTTGAGTCTGGGTAGAAGATAGTGACCTCCTGGAGAACAGTTTGCATAGACCCCTGAGAACAGTCAGATTGAAGCAGATCAGGAAGAAATGGGTGGAAGGAATTGCTGTAAACTGCTTATTTAAAGGGATCAGGAGTAAAAGATGGGAGAACAATTAACATAGCATCTTAGGAGCCGCAAAATCAAAAGTGGCTTTGTTAGGGGCAGCTAGGTGGTGCAGTGGATACAGCACCAGCCTTGGATTCAGGAGGACCTGAGTTCAAATCTGGCCTCAGACCATATACTTGACACTTACTAGATGTGTGACCATGGGCAAGTCACTTAACCCCAATTGCCTAAAAAAAAAAAAGGTAGTTTTGTTTTATTTTCTTCTTTAGAGAAAGATGTGACTTGGCTCCACAAAAGCCAAAGTGCAAACGAGTTAGCTTTAGAGAGGAAAAGGAAAAAAAAACACTATAAAATAGAGATGTTATCTAGTTAGTTGCAGTATGTGAAGAAGCACATACTGTATGGTTTCTGTGTGTGTGTGTGTGTGTGTGTGTAGTTTCTAACTCTTCTAATCCTTTGTAACTTTAAATATCAGAGGGTTTTTTGAGCTATATTCTTAGGGAAAGTGAAATTACCTCTGAGAAAAGTATTAAGCAGATGATAATTACTTGCACCTAGTGGCATTTATCATTACTTTCCTTTGTGAGACCTATGAATCACAAAACTGTCTGAACACCTCCAACTGAGTGGTAATATATATATTTGGGATAAGACCTGTGATTTCATTGCAATAGGGCACTACTGTTGAGGAAACTTCTACCAATTCAGGTCTTCACACTCTCTGAAACTTAGGGTCTTAGGAGTTTCCTAGAGCACTGAAAGGATAAGTGATTTGCTCAGGATCATACAGCTATTATATATCGGAGTGAAGACTCCCAATCTAGGTTTTCTCTACTTTAAGCCTGTGGAGCTGTATTTCTCACAACCTAGAAGGCCTCTTCTATTTAAAGCCCCAGTGTTTGGTATGCCTCTCCAGTAAGCTAGAAGTATCCTTAGATAGAAATTAGAATATCTATGAATCACTAATATTCTTGACTTTGTAGTGAGAACCAATCCTTATTTACCTTGATGTAAATTAGATTAATTTGGTAGCTTATATGTCCCAGGATAGAACTATGGTAAGCAACATGGTGCAATGGAAAAAACATTGAATGTTGTATTGGAGAACCTAGGTTTGAACTCCAGTTCTCTTGTTTATTGCTTGTATCATTCAACTTGGATCATTCAACTCGATTCTCTGGGCCTCAGAGAATCTGTAAAATTCGGTGGTGGGAAGAATGCAGTAGACTAGATAACATATAAGGTCCCTTTAAATCTATAATCTAGGGGGGAAAACAGTAACAATCCAGTGACCTCCATTGTAAGTGTGAGTTCTGAGTCTATTTCTTGATTTGTAGAATTCAGATAATAGTACTTTTACTACCAGCTTTACTACAGAATTGTGGGAAGCAAAGTGCTTTCCAACTGTTGAGTACTATGTAAATGAGTTACTACCTGTATCACTTGCTTTCAGTGAGAAAAAGATGGTATTATCAAAGTAAGCTTCTATGAAAGAGTCAAAGACATTTGCCAGTATTTCATTCTTAAAATGCTAAAGTGTATGTGGCCTACCCAAATTGCGTTTCTTGGCACTCAAAATTCCCATAACACGATGATGCCTTTTGCTTGTTTATGGGCCTAATAGAATATGTCATACTCCTCATTCCCAAGTCCAGCTTTGTAGAGACTTTGGTTCCTGGACTTTCTCCCCCAAAGATCCAAAATCAGTGGGAGGAGGTAGCAGATGCAAACAATTTCTACAATTAGCCTTCAGTACAAAGCACAACTAACCTTGCCTTCTTGGGCCTAAAGAAAAATGTGATCCTGGTTATTTAGACCACAAGATCTAGATAAAGAGTTTCCATGAATGGTCTTGTTTATATTCCCAAATTCCTGCCACTCCTGTTCATTTAAAGCATAGATAGCAAGTCAGCAAGGCAGTCATGGGTTCCATGGGGAACAGTTAGGTCCTCTTCTCAATGAAGATCTCTTAGGATTACTGATATTCTTTTTAGCCATTACCCCAAGGATTCCTAGAGTAAGACAAGTACTACTAGGTGTGAATTCTTGGAGGGATTTGTACTGTAGTGACCTGAACATACCTTCTGTGGACAAGGTGACTACTCACAGGATTACCTGTCCTGAGTGGCCACTCTATCTTCCATGATTTTCAATTATGAGTTGTTATGAAGCAATCCATCTGGTATGGTTGCAAAAAATTTAAATAATGCTATATTAGGCTTTATTAACATAAATTATGGTTTATGTTTAAACCAGAGTAAGGGAAGTAGAAGGCCCAGTGTATTGTTCATTGGTCAAGCTGTATCTGGAATGTCATGTTCAGTTCTGCTTGCCACATTTCAAAAGGGACATTGATACATAAAAATATACCTAATAAGAGGGTGATCATCATGAAAAATATATCATGTGAGGGATGGTTGAAGGAATTGGAATATTTAGCCTAGGAAAAGATTTAGCAAAGACATAAAAACTTCTTTCAAATATCTGAGGAGCTGTTATGTAAAAGAAGGGTTTGACTTCTTCTTTGCAGTTACAGAAAGGAAAATTAGGAATAATGGATGGAAGTTACCAGGAGGACTATTGCAGCTCAATAACAGAAAGAACTTTCTAACATTTTGAGAGTCACAAAAATGGATTGGGCTGCCTTATGAAGGAGTGGCTTCACTGGAAATGTTCAGGGAGAGGTCGGATGAATACATTATCACTTAGGGAGAGGTATAAAAAATATTCCATCTTTTACTGAAAGATTGCTCTAGATGACCTTTAAAGTCCCTTCTAACTTTAAGGTTCTATAATTCTTGTCACGTTCTTATCTGCTACCAAAATCCACGTGCATTTCTGGATTTTCTAAATTCATGTACAATTAATGTCTTACCACACAATGGCACTTTACTAGATAATGTCTTATATTCTCTAATTATGTAAGGGCACGTGTTCCTCCCAGGAAAAATTGTGTGTCCCCCAAGGACATTTACTATGATTCATACTTATTTTTGGCTTCTATATAATCAGAAACAGTGCTAGGTACGTAATAGAGAATTAGTTAAAAATTACTTTACCTTGGATATTCAGATCCCTGAATATTATAAGACTATACATCTTCTGACTCTTCCAGATCTTTCTAAGGACATGTCAGTGGATGTCCGAAAGTTGAGTATGAATATGTTTGGCATTTCAGAAATCACTGAAATTCAAGGATATAGCTGTGGACTTCACCCAGGAAAGAGTGAGCCAACTGGATCTTGATATGAAATATACCTGTACAGGGACATAATCCTGGTGAATTCTATGAATCTAGTCTCACTGGGTAAGTGTGGCATCCCTGTGTGCTCAGCATCTATCTAACCTTTGAAATGCCTTCATTTCCTCAGTTGTTAAAAATTATGAGGCCTCTAGTGTCTTTTTGTATCGAAACTTGAAGTTCAGATTTCATATATTCCTAATCCCTTTGGGACATAAACAGAGTTCTTTTGCTCCTGTTTATAGATGAAAGTCCTGTACTCCATAAAAAATGAAACTAGGTCTTTTCCTGTCTTTGATGTAACACATAGCTCGTCCTTCTAAGATCCTGAAGAATAAGGATTTGGGACTTTCAGGGATGGGTCTTTGTCCCCAGCACAAACACCCAAGTCTTTTTTCTTTCCATATAAACAGGTTATTAAATTTCCAAGCCAGATGTGATGTCCCAGTTGAAACAAAGAAGAAATTTTTGAATAGTAAAAAGACAAATCCCAAGAGGTACCTGCCCAAGTGAGTAAGAGAAAACCAATAACTTTTTTTTTTTAATGCTGATCATTCTTGACTCTTATGTAGCATTTGACACTGCTGACCATCTTTTGATGGATAGTCTCTCTTTTCTCAGGTTTCACGACACTGCTCTGTCTTGGTTCTCCTACCTATCTCCTCAGTCTCCTTTGCTGGGTCATCGTTCATGACCTGCCCACTAAGTCCCACCCCTTCCCTGCCCTTCTTTTAGTCTGGGAAACTAACTACTAATGTGGAGCATGCTTTTTGGTGTAACAGTATTGAAAAAGAATATCATGGGAATAGATTTTAGAGGATTTTGATTGCCAGCTTAAGAACTGATCTTCACTTCGTAGGGAGTAGGAAGGTATTTTGTGATTTTCAGTAAGAAAGTAATAATGTCACATAGGAACATTAGTGGCAAGAGTCTGTTGGGTGATTAAAAGGGGCTCAGGACTTGACTGGGGCAACAACATCAGGATGCCAGAGCTTGGGTCCTCTACACTTACATGAGGCTATCCTAAGGTCTGAGAATCTTAAAGTCAAAATAGAATAGAAGAATTCTCCTATCAATGTATAGACAAAGTGGTCTGTAGTCAGGGTAGATATGTGCCCACAATCCAGTAATTTAGGAGAACAAAATAAATGCCAGTGCTCAGAGCATAGTAATGATAATATTAATTATGGGGAACCAATGTTTTTCCCCTAGGCCCTTTACAATTCCTGCAGCTCTGATCTTCTATGAATAGGAATGCAGGGAGTGCATGATATGATGGAGATAGGATAGGTGTAATTACAGACGGACCCTGATTATAGTTTAAGGGAACTGAGGAAGAGCTGGAACCGTAGGGGTGTTCTTACAGAAATAAAATTATTTTTAATGAAGGATTCATTTGATATCATCATATAGGATCACTTGGAGGCAATAAGACAACCCAATAGATGAGTTAGGATCCTGTTACAGTAATTGAAGCATGAGATGATAAAACCCTGAACTCTGGTCCCAGGCTGTCTCTCACAATCCAGATATTTTCCTTAAGCCACATCCTTTCTTTTTTGTCCATCCAACAGTTAATAATTCTCACCTTCAGTTTCTTCTAGATGGATTTATCTCAATTTCTATGCTCACTTTGCTTCCTGTGTCAACTTCTATTAAACCATTTGTGTTCACTTCTCACTGCTCCTTTTCTCTCCTTCCATTTCTTTCCCCTAGATGTCAAGGCCATATTTAAAAGCTTCCAAAGCCACCTTTGTGTTATACTCGTCACCATTTTTACTTTTTTTTTTTCTAAATTCAGTAATTTTCTTACTCCTAACACAGGCAACAGGACAAAGTTGCCCTTTTTCTTTCTTTCAGACTGGAAGACTAGGTGTTAAAACCAAAGGGTTAAATCTGAAGCAAGATATTTCTGAGGAAAAATCATCACAGAAAGTAACAATAGAAAGATTCACGAGAGAAGGCATCTGATACACTAAGCTAAGACTAGTCTGAAAATTTGATTGCTAATTTGAGTGGCAGCAAAATATCAAGAAAACCATGTCTGAGGCTGATGACAGTTTTTCAGAAGACAACATTCCCTTGAAACACATGTTCTGGGACAGCTAGGTGTTGCAGCGGATAGAGCATTGGCCCTGAAGTCAGGAGGACCTGAGTTCAAATCCGGCCTCAGACCAAACACTTGACATTAGCTGTGTGACCCTGGGCAAGTCACTTAACCCCAGTTGCCTAAAAAAAAAAAATCTCAGAAAGGAATAAATCCTGTGTCTTCCCAATATTAACAATTACTTGTTTGGGGCAGCTAGGTGGCGCAATGGATAGAGCACTGGCCCTGAATTCAGGAGGACATGAGTTCAAATCCAGCCTCAGGCACATAACACTTACTAGCTGTGTAACTCTGGGCAAGTCACTTAACCCTGTTGCCTAGCCAAAAAAAAAAAAAAAGAAAGAAAGAAAGACATGCTCTGAGCAAAATGAATTTAGTGTGAACCCAATTACAGAACATGGGAGTTCACATAAGAGACGCTATGAATATGATACATAAGGGTATAATTCATACTTAATTGGACATCCAAAAATCTGTATAGGGAAGAAACACTATGAATATAATGAATGTAGGAAGGCTTACAGTAAATGTGCACTCAAGAAGAAATGATAGTCCATACTAGAGAGAAATTCTATGATGTAATGAATGCGGGAAGATCTTCAGACTGCTTGGGGATCCTTGATCAACATTTAATAATGCTTACAAATGTAATGAATATGAGGAATCTCCATCATCATACAAACTACAGTCAAAATCAAATAATTTATATCAACTATAAATGTAATGAATGAGGCTATTTATGCACCTTACTTGACATCAGAGAATCCATAATGGTAGAAATCCTTAAAATTAGTTTGGGAATGCCTTTAGGCACATCTCAGCTTTGGTCAGACATCAAAAACTTCATAATAGAGAACAATCCTTTCAATTTAGTGAATGCAGGAAAGTTCTTATTCTTATCCCTTTTAAAAATACACTACCATTATGATATCACTCTTTGTAACTAATTGTAGTGCTTGTAGTTTTGTTTGGGGTGTTTTAGGTGTAAGTATACTGTTTTAGATCCTTTGTATATTATATATATGTACATATACATACATACACACAATATTTATTTTCTTTCAGTTATATACCCCAATAGGAATACATTATTTCCAAGGAAATACCTTATCAGTTTGCCTAATTATTAGTTCACCTTTTGCCAGTTTACTAATTTACTAATTTTACTAAATTTACTTGTACAATTTACTAAGCATTTTATACTGTTTTTATAAATACTAGAATTTGTCATTTTTAGAACATATTTGTGTCATTTTTAAGATGAAACTCATGATATACGAATATCCAGTAGGGTTAGGTAGTGATCTTTAGCATTAATGGCTTAAAATAAATTTAGTTATTTTTCTTAAAGTAGAGTTGTACAATTGTGATAAGGACTTGTGGTTATATAAATGATGAGATAATCACTAGACTCCAAGTTTTATTTAAAAAGATAGAAATCACTTTATTTAATAACAATCATAGGAGATTGATATACAATATTGGAAAGAAAGGACTGAAGGGAACTGGGCTTCTCTCACAAAGAAACATAAACTTGAAATGCCAAAGAAAAGATAAACAACTAAAAAAGAAAAATGAGTAAAGTAAAAAGAGTGTGCACACAATTTTAAAAGTTATAGTATAACTCAATCACTTAAAGCATGAGAAACAGTGGCACTGGGAACTGAAACTAAAGAAAATATCTCAGGAGGTAGTCTCAGGCTGACAAATGGAATAATCAAAGCAAGATAAATCAATGTGAAGAAGATCAAATAAAAGAAGGACTGGAAGAAAATTATGGAAATTAAGAGACAGACTATCCCAATGGATAGAGATCTGACCTTAAAATCAGAAAAATCTGGGATTTAAGTCTCATTTCTTGACATATTGGCTGTTGTGATCCTGGGCAAATCATTTAACCTTTCAGTGGCCTATGCAAATTTCTCAGATTAAAAATTGTAGAACTCTTGCTGATCTGAATTGGTAGAGGGCTTTCCTTAACAGGAGCTTCCTAGATCATTTAAATCAGAAGTCCAACACTGCCCTCCTACTATGCATCCCCCGAAAAAATGGAAGAAAAAATGGATAATATGTTTGCCTTCACTATGAAGAACAGGGACATTTTTTTCGTTTTTTTTTAAATCAAAGAAATCATTGGAAATAAAAATCAATAGCTTTAATTATGTAAAGGATTTGAATTTTAAACAACAAACAATATCTAAAATTAAATCAATAGAAACAAAATGAAGAAATATGTGAAATATATCAGATAAAAGTCTGACACATCTGTAAGATTAATACACACTCCCTAGTAAATCAGTGGTCAAAGGACATGACAAGATAATAGAGGAAATACA